CACTGTGATCCCACAATGAGGGCATTTGTTAAAACAAAGTTAAATGTAGGCATGTGGAAACAGTTTCTGAAACAGTTTTTTAATGAGAAGATACAAAAACCTTCCATACTGCACAAGGGCTGTGATGTGTGTGGTAAACAGTGTGATTGTGGAGCCTACCCAAAAGAAATGTTAAAAAATTATTCTTGAACGATCAAGATAAAACTTCCTACAAGAAGGGAGATCAGAGCCATGTAAACTTGCTGAAAGTTTTATCTTGATAACCCTTTTCATTATAATTCTATTAATTTGTATTATTTTTGACAGCTTATATTAAGTCAAGAGGTTGATTAGAACACATTTAACAAATTTGTTTAGCATTGCCAGGAGGTGCAATGTCTCTTAGGGGTGTACGTGCAAATCAAAGATTTCGGTTTCACTTATAATATGGGTGCTTAGAACAAACTACCTCCCTTCCACGTTGTACATTGCTGTCATTATATTTCTGGTGTCTTTAATTTAACTTTACGTTAATTAGTATAATTGCCTATAGCTCGCTAATCCGGCAATGGTGATCAGGAGGGTGCTCAGGTGACACATTTATAGTGAAGGTGAATACAAATTACATAAAAGACATATTAACAAATAGCACACGAAACTACTCACGCATGCATACGATTTATGTGTGCTTGATTACAAGGAAATTTGTATTCAAATGTCCTTTCAACTATTGTCCTCCAGTGCTGATAAGAGTTCGGTTTTGTAACTTTATCCTGCCGGATTGCTTCGGTTGTGTTTGCTTCAAAACTGTTCCAATTCTAAGTCTAAGACGGACGACTGTTTTGCGATCTTCTTGGCAAGGACATCGTGACTCCACAGTATAAAGTTGTACTTACTTCCAGCACTGCACAAATTTAAGCATTTAGCCCACAACAGAGGCAGCACGAATCCTTTTCATTCTTCACCTTAACTGTTCTTATTCAATTTTAACTAGAGTTTGCAAACCAAGGGTAGGAGGCAAAACCTCCAAGTTCTACACGACGACTCTTTTTTGCGCTCTGTTTATATTCTACATGAAGGGCGATACGGCCTGGGTTCGAAACTGTATCTTAGCAACGCCCTGAGCATGCTCAATAAGAACTTGACACGATTCGTGCAGAGTCTTTTCTCGGTACAAAGGATATGTACCGTAAGAAAAGGCTCTGCTTGCAGGGTGGCCTCTGTTGTGCAAATGCAGGTATTTCAAAACAAGAAAAAGATCAGATCAGTCAGCTAGCATTAGAAGGCAAACTATCGTCCAGAAATGTCATCGTCAGAAATATTTTCCCAGGGAATGCAACACAATCTGGGCTTAACTTTCTGACAATTTTACATTATTATTTAGACTTTATTTAATTATATAAGAAAATTTACACTGACGATTTAATTATGAATAAGTGCACAGCAGCCAAAGTAGGAAAGCTCTCGCATTGGCTGCTGCTTATTTATGGAGTTTGCCCACTTAGACCACTTTCAAACAAATGACAGAGGCCGAGGTGACAGAAGAAGCGCTTGATGTAGCGCGACCGAATAAAGAAGCCAGGATGAAAATGAAGATTCTGAGAACGAAGATTGTTCGATAATGGAGCGTGAAAAGGTTACTGCTTCCGAGGCAAATGCCGCAGTATGACTATTGTACAACTTCGTTGTCAGCAGTGACACGGCAGGTGCCCGGGAAAAAGAAATTCTCCAGTACCTTCCAATTATGGAGGACACATTTCTTGCCATTGATGTCGCGGGTCGAAAAAAGCAATCGACATTGGAAGATTTTTTAACTGAAACGTGGAACTTTGTTTGTGTAGAGACAAATCGGGAAGATGATCACTAAACGACATTGATGATTTCCCACTGGTGTTACTGTTACTTCTGAATTGTTACTGTTACTTCTGAAAAGTTTTAAATTGAAAGTGTTCTTGAAATTTATGTCCTGATTGTCAGCGCGTTACACTTACAGTTTACAGTATCAAATGAATAAAAGTAATGATTTCTATGTGTAGTATTGAATTTTTGGTAATTTTAAATTACCCCGTTAAAACGAATATTTTTGCTGTTAACCAGATAATTCATTATGACCGGGTCTTCGCTATAACAAAGACCCCGCTGTAACGAACATTTTTTTTTGGTACCGTGGCACTTCGTTATAGCGCGGTGCCACTGTAGTGAATTTTCACCCAAACCTTCGAAATTTTCGAAATTGCTCTTCCTGCAAATTCAATCTTTTACATTCTATTTGCTTTCAGAATAACCTGAATTTCGATCGAATGGTTTGCAAGAAAATTCAACAGTTTTCGGATGTTCTTGAAACCTCGGGAAATTTTCGTACCATTCGCTCTCATTCCAAAATTTCAGAGGTTTTTGTCGAATGGAAAGCGACCGAGTCACTATTGTACTTAAATATTCATGATGCAAGTGTGGTTCAATCATCTTTTCATGGAGACAATTGTTGGCAAAGAAAAATATGTTCAAACTGAAACTTGCAATAACTGCTGAACTAGTCTTGAAAACTAGGAGCAACGTCCAATCAATCTGTATTGCCACTTAACAAAACTTACAACTCCAAATATCTAATTAGATTCAATGAAATATTTTTCATCCAAAAACACACGTCACAACGTTGTCAATAACAACGCACACAGTAAAAAATATGTAAATTATGATCATGCCATCACGCGATTCTTGGCAAGAAAGAGCAGATTTTTGCTTTCTTGCTACCAGTACGCGTATTGCTTTTTTTGTTGTACAATACAGACGAGTACGAGGTCTCAAACTTGAAACATTAACGCTTTTATCAATGGCCGACACGGAAAACACGCATCACAACATTGCCACCAACAACGCACACAGTAACAATATGTCACCATATCAAATCGTCGAATTCCTTTATTTCCGATTTTGTTATTCTCAGTTATTCTTGATCGTTGAGCCGGTATCATTCTCTCCAACTAGCGGTTACTTGTAATAAACATCCTGTCACGTATGCACGATTTTGACACAGATCTGGGGCACAAATGCGCTTGATCTACCTAACGACGAGTTCTGTGTAGTTCTGCAAAACTAATATGTAATTGAAGTACGTGCCTGGGATGCTCTAAGGAATGAGATATTGATCAGACATATGATGAAGCAATGTCGTGAACTTCACTTACCGAAGACGGATATTGTGAGCCCTCTTGCAAATATCATTTTCCAAAGACTTGCCAGTATACGACTGTCTCCTTTCGGTTACGATCTGAAAACGATAGCTCCGTCGATGGGATATTGTATGCATACACCGCCAGAAAACACTTTCGCATCGCTACAGGGGCCTTAGTCCACTTCATTAAATGGGTCCTGATTCTGTCGTTATGGGCCACAGGCGCCACAATTGACGCCTTGTTACAGGCCATGACGCAGCGGACTTGGCAGACTTCCAGAACAGTCCTTCGTCATGGTTTATTAATTACCCGCCGAACAGCCTAGAACTCGCTTAGCTATTCTACCCTGAAACTCATGAGGTCGACTTGTGGCAAGGCTAGATTAGAGGTTGTAGGGAACACTTTAAATTTGCAACTGCAAAACGTTCAAAACAAGGTCACATTTTTGTCACAGAATCTTTCTTTGCTGGCGTATATTTCAGAGGTATTGTCCTACAGATGTCAAGATGTTTGTTATTGCTTTCACTTTTGCGAACACAACAAATCGACGAACAAGACGCCAAAACACAACATTACGCTCATTATTTTGTTAAGTTATTTCCAACTATTCGAGGACATCCATGCACGCATTTTGCAG